AGCTCGCGGAAGATCTGGCAGCAACGGCATGCCAATCACCTGCGGTGCCAGCGCGGCGGTGAGCTCTTCCTCGGTCGCCGGGACGGTCTCAGCTTCGGAGATCTCGTCGTCGGCGGGTGGCCCCGCTGGAAGACCGAACCAAGCATTGAACGCGACCTCGTCGACTTCGTCCCAGCCGTGGAACTCGTCGAAGAGGGTCACTGCGTAGTCTTCCAGGGCTACGGTCACTTCAGCGTAGCGGGCCATCACGTAGTACGTGGAGGAGCCCGCGGCGGGAGCCGCTTCTGGATTGACGTAAAACTCGTAGTCAATGTAGTCTATGTCATCCATAAAAGAATTTTGAGCCAAATGTACGGATCCCTTTCCTTTCCCTTTCGGGCATTGATCGCGCAAGTGCTCTGTGCTGCCGCATGTATGACACTTCATAGTATTGCCAGAAGCGTCCCTAGGGTTGCCCCTCCGCCCTTTTCCCTTACCGGAGGTCCGCCTGTGACCCCGACCTTTGCCTCCGATAAGAACTTCCTCAAAGACTATATCAGTTAAGGACGTGAGGAAAGCAGTAATACCCCTACCATGCATACGGCGTCTGCGACCCCCTTTGCCACGACCCTTTCCATATCGTTTGAAATGTCGGCGTACTGCACGTCTCACTTTTCTGACTGGTTTCTTCATAAAGCGCCTCCAACGGCGTTTTGATTTGCGATAAGCCATAAAAGCGGCTTCCGCTCTTTGTTGTTCAGAAAGGTGAGTGTCATCCGCTGGATAGTCATTACCAGCAGAGACTATGCCATTGTGCTCATCGTCAGATGAGGTGTCTGTGTCAGTGCCAGATTCAAACGGTGAGGGTGGCTGAGACCCTTGAGCGGATGACTCCGCTTGGCCCCAGAGGGTTGTGCCCGAGGGCGGGCTTGCAGTGTAGGCGGCGCCTGGCGAGTAGTTCGACCAGGCGTTCGCCTCAGCTGCCTCTGCCGATGCCTGGCCGGTCTGCCCTAAGAAGGCAGTGGCCTCGTTGGGCATATCGGCTGGGTCAGCCCAGGGACTTGGCTCGCCAGGACCAGCGGGTGACCCCGCAGTCGTGGCGTAGACACCTGCATGTGAGTGGTGCCCTGTGAAGATACCCGCAATGTTGCCAGGAGAGCGCTCGGCAACATGTCCGTAGTTCCTCATCCTGGTCAGCAGCCTGTCATAGTCTGCTTGTGTTCTGGGCATCTGATGATTAAAAGGCTCCAGCAGGTGTTGGGCTCGTGACGCGCCAACGCCTAACGCTCTGAAAAGAATCAGCGTTAGGATCTGAAAGTTGGGGATGACAAAGCCAACAGAGTTAGCCTCGTCACGGGCCATCTCGAATCGAGCTAACACTGAGTCGATTCGCTCGCCCCTTTCGACGCGAAAGTCGATAAGGGCAGTGCCAGAGTTGAGCTGGCGCTCATCTTCCAGATTTTCAAATTTGGTGCTCAGTAGGTACAGTATATATGTGACTGCATCCGTTGGCTGTCCATTGACAGTTACACCATAGTTGATGATCTGGGAGGGGACCTGCATGGCGATACGACGAGCAAGACCTTGAAGGCCTCGTTGTAGTGCTGCAGCTTGTTGTGGTGGCGTCATATTGCCGCTCGTTACGTTTATCCATGCATGTACTTCGCGAACGTATTCGCGAAAAGGCGTAGTACCGGCAGGGTCCCATGAAGGGCCAGTAGTACGCGTGTCGTCCATCCCCTGCCGCATGTATCCCACAGCACATCCCATTATTACCCACAGAATGCCGAAGATAGTTATCTTAATCCAGTGCATGTGCATTTCGGCTTCGGTGATTGGTTTAGGCTGTGGTTTGTCAGGCTCTGGCGTAGTAGCCGTGAGGCGCCTGACTGGCACGGGATGCAGGTGGCCCCGCTGCGGGTAGCCCCGCAGGGTGACCACGTTCTCGATCGAGTTGCCGATTGGCATCTGGTGGAAGTCGAGAGTGAAGTAGCGCAGTGAAGTAGGAGAGAGCGTCTCGAGTTCGCGGGTTGCCCCGCTAGCTCGATCGCGGACTGGCTCCGCTCCTCGCAGAGCCGGCGCAACATGGTATTCCACCGTAGTAGTAGTCCACCAAGTTGTGCCGTGGATTACAGGAATCAGAGCGAGAGCCAGCCACACGAGAGTGTAGCCAGCTCCGCTACCAAGTCGAAAACATGCTGGTAAGCTTAGGTATGTGTTACGCTTCAAGCGTTGCCATATCCCAGGCGTTGGCTCATATCGCATGAGCAAGAGAGCGAGACGAAGCATGGGATCTGGAGTAAAGGATAGAAGGGGCATCTTCAATGGAAAAGGTATTTTCCGATCTCAGATACAAGTCGTGCGCCTCGGTGAGGCACAGTCATATATTTGGCCGGGCCCGGCTTGAGCCAGACACGGCAGCGGTACATGCTCGATTTATACCTCGCCTTTAACCTTCTCCGTTTAAAGTCCTTCCACCTCCTTCTTCCCGGGATTTCGCTTGATGTAGCGCCATTGCGGAATCCATCTCCGAAGACTAAGAAACGCCCACAACAACTCCGGACGCCAAAAGACATCGATCCAGAAATTTTGAAGGGGTCGGCAGATGTGACGTAAGCCTAGAGAATCCACGTCCAGATGTGACGTGCTGAGCGGCAGCGTTTTCAGCGGAGGCGATAATGCAACGTATCCCATGTATCCCATAATTGTATCATTGCTACATATTGTCTTGTGATACATTATTATACCCCCCAGGGGCTACGCCACATCCATCGACCAAACCTGGCGACCCCCTTTTGGAACCCCATCGATGATTTCGGCTTCTCCTGGGCCTCTTGGGGGGCCACGAGGGCGTCAGGACGGCTCAAGATGGCCTCTGTGCGGGCCAAGACGGCCCCAAGACGGCCCAAGATGGCCCCAAGGGGGCCCAACAAGGCCCCAAGAACGCCCAAGACGGCCCCAAGAGGACTCCCAAGAGGACCCCCAAGAGCGCCTCCAGAAGCCCAAATCTTTGAGTGCCCTATGGTTTTTGTATGATTCTAGTGCCTTCGCCTTTGCCGATTCTCAAAGGCCCATGACGGTCTAAGCAGCCTCCAACATTGCCCCACAACAACCCACAAAGCCCCCGAGAGGACCCCCAAGACGGCCCAAGAGGACCCCAGGACTGCCCAAAGAGGTTCCCAAGACGTCACAAGAAACCCCAAGGCGGCCCACCAAGAGGCGACAACGACTGGACTGTACGTGCTCCGGACGTGCACCCCACGAAGCGAGAGGAATCACTGATGTTCCTTAGGTGTTTCATCGAGTTTAGCGTTCTCGCCTTTTCGGGCCTCCGACCCTCCGAGACGGCCCCAGTGGCCCCAAAAGATGGCACGACGACGGCCCCAGCAGCCCCCACGAGGCGCGCCGGCGAGGACCCCAAGACGGTCCGAGACGGCCCCACAGACCTCCAAGATGGCCCCCAAAGGAAGGGCCCACGACCGCCTCCAGAGGCCCCCAAGACAACCTCCGAAAACCAAGAGGTTCCTTAGAGGCCCCCAAAAGGCCCCAGGAGGCCTCCAAAAGGCCCCAAGAGACACCAAGAGGCCCCTCAGAGGCCTCCAGTAGGCTTCTTGAAGCCCCCAGGAAGCCTCAAGAGGCCTTCTCTTCCTCCTCCTCCTCCTCCTCCTCCTCCTCCTCACCCTCCTCCTCCTCCTCCTCCTCCTCCTCCTCATCATCATCATCATCATCATCAGCAGCAGCATCAGCATCATCATCATCCTCATCATCATCAGCAGCAGCATCATCATCATCATCAGCAGCAGCATCATCATCATCATCATCATCCTCACCATCAGCATCACCATCACCATCATCGTCAGCAGCATCATCATCCTCCTAATCATCAGCATCATCATCAGAATCATCATTATCATCATCAGCATCATGATCATCAGCAGCATCATCAGCATCAGCATCAGCATCAGCACCAGCATCAGCATCAGCATCATCATCATCATCATCATCATCAGCATCATCATCATCATAATCATCATCATCATCATCACCATCAGCATCATCAGCATCATCATTATCATAATCAGCGTTAGCATCAGCATCAGCATCATCATCATCATCATCATCATCATCATCATCAACATCATCCTTCTCCTCATCCTACTCATCATGCTTCTCCGTCTCCTCGTGCTCCTCCTCCTCCTCCTCGTCCTCCTCCGCCTCCTCCTCCTTCTCCTTCCTCCTCCGCCTCCTCCTCCTCCTCCTCCTCCTCCCTCTCCTCCTCCTTCCTCTTCTTCTTCCAAGTGTTTCCCCAAGGGGTTCCACGACGGATTGAGGAGCACAACTTCGGCCCAACGTTTGGGTGTATGAGCGCTTCCGAAAGGCAGGGGGGCGGCGCTGATTCGCCGCAGACATCTTCATCCGCCGCCCCCTGTTGCCTGCAAGATGGGTTGTTGACGTGCCAGAGCGATCCAAAAAAGTTCCTAAATGGTCTCGGGCTCAACCAACCGGCCACGCGGCAAAACACAGAAAAACCGCGCAGCACCGTCCTCTGCGGCCAAGACGGCCAAGATGGTCTAAGATGACCTCCAAGACGGCTCAAGACGGCCTAAAATGACCTTCAAGACTGCCCAAGACGCCTCCTAGTCAGCCAAGACGGCCACAGGAGGACCCAAGATGCCACCAAGAGAGCCCAGGATGACTCCAAGACGGACCAAGACGACCTCCAGACAGCCTCAAGAGGCCTCCAAGATAGCCCCAAGACGGCCCCAAAGCCCTCCAGAGGGCCAAGAGGGCCCCACGACTGCCAAAGACGCCTCTGAGACGGCCCCAGAGACCTCAGGGCGGCCCCAATCGCCCCAAGAGGGCCCCCAAGACGGCCCACTCAGGCCCCGCCCCCAAGAGGCCCCCAGGAGGCGGCAAAATGGCACCAGGAGGCCCTCTTCCTCCTCCTTCTCCTCACCCTCCTCCTTCTGCTCCTCCTCCTCCTCCTCATCCTCTTCTTCTCTTCCTCCCCCAAGTGCTCCCCCATAGATCACTTGGTTGACCAAACGTTGGCCCAGCGTTCGGCCATATCGACGTTTCCAGAAACGCAGGGAGTGGCGGTGGTTCTCCGTGGGCGTCTTTGATAATCACAAGGATGGTCAACACCACGGTACAGAAGGAAGCAAGAGCATGACTGCAGAAAAGAAGGGAAGTTCGCAGGACGACAACCAGGCATTGAATCAGGTCTAGCCGATCAGATCATTCGTCCTCCATGGACTCGAAAGTCAGCATCCACAGACTCTGGGTAACCCGCTTGACTGCGCTCAGGACGCCGTAGGCCTCGAAGGTAATCTTCACCTCGGGGCACCCCACTCTATGGCCGGGCGACCTCTGCAGCCGAGTGCTCTTATACTTCGCCTCTGCAGAAAGACAGTGGACGGCGCCGAGCCATGGCAACGATGCGACCTCGTGAGCGACCCACACTGCCACCCGCACCGCTCGCCGTGCAGAAAGGCCGGTGTCTCTCGAGGTGCGCAACTCTGCACCGTTTGGCACCGCCGCTTCCCAATTCGAAGGATTCGGGCACAATAACGCACGGCACCAGCACGGTCTACCTCGGGAAATAACTATAGACACTGACGCTTTTTCTGGCACTGAACCTAGTGTATACAGTTTTCGCTGCTTCCCTGGGGAAAAAATAAAAATATACACCACACCACCTCGACGTCGTCCCCAACCCTCAAAAAGTCATGGGACTGAAAAACAGCCCGCCACTGGTAATGTAGATGTTCCAGTTTCCGACATAATCGAGGACTCGGGCACAGCGCCGCATGGCCTGGCGTGGCAACACATCGGCTCACCGATGCCGAATCTCGGGGGCTCGACCGCGGCATCGCCCAGCACCGCACGGCGTCGCTGCGCCCCGCCGATGCCGTTTCGGCTCACACGGACGCGGCACCGCGGCTCACAAAACGCTTTGGCGCGGCAATCGGTTCCGCTCCGTGCGGAAAACACGGGGCGGGCACATCGGCATCCACTGATTGAGCACACGCAGGTGCTTCTGGACCGAATGGAAGATGCGACCTTCCGATATGAATAGTACACGCATGCTACTGGTTAGCTTCGCCCCGCCACCCACTAAACAGCTGGCCTGGGACCTGAATACTCAAATTTGGTGACTTCCCAGCGGCTGGATGATAGCAGGCGCGAGCCTCTCGCGGCCAACCTACGTGCTGGACAACCTCGCTGCGACGATGACGGACTTGAATGCAATATTGCATATGATTGATTGCAGCGAGTGGGCCACCATGGAGTTAGATGCAAGTGGATCAGAACTACGAACATGAAATCCATGGCAGGTCTACCTCTTTACGGATATCACACAGCTGTCGCAGCCTTCGCTGCCGAAGGAGAAGCTCCAACAGGATTACCCGCCCTACAAGCAAATGGGCGCAGAATCTTGCAAAACGCTGAGCGTGCACTGCTCTCACAGGAGCGACCAAATTGAACAGGTCTGGCGCGAAAGACATAGCAGCCTTTCGCCGGGGCTTACGCGGGCCGCCAGCGCGACACACCACGTGGAGATGAGGGCGCGTATGCGCCACTTCACGCGGAAAGCTTACGAACGAATGCCCGCGCAATCGACCCCGCTGTGTTCGCTCACTCACATGGCGAAGCAAGGGCGGATTTGATGAACGTTGCACTCCAGCTGCCGAGGCAACGACCTGCGACTCGTCCATCTCGGCTGGCATGCCGTCAATGTATATGCTGCTGTTCGGTCCTTGGTTCCAAAATGTCCACACATCCACAGCAAAGTACTCTAAGCAACCCAATGCTTCACACGCGAAATCCCATAGACTGCGTGTGGAAGGCGAGACGGACCCCTCACGCCCTCGTCTGGGACCCGAAGAAGCTTGCCGAACCGCTCCTGCTAGAACGGCTGAAACGACGTCTTCGCATGCTCACCCAAGCCTCGGCTGCAGAGCATACATTCGGACCTCCCTGGCACCAGCATTGCAGATTCCCACTCGTGAGTGAGATAACAATGTGTTCGAATTACGCATACGTTCCCGTGGTCCACACCTGGCCCCCCGTGCATTCCTTCTCCCGCTCACTTGTGCACAAGCGGGCCGCAACATCACCTGGCGGTTCGACATCACAAGAGGCGCCTCCCTCGACGACCGTGCGCGAACAAAATGTGTCGGTCTTGTCCTGATCGGGCAAGACTGACGCACCCACTTCCCCATGCTTGGAAGCCCACGCTTTCTGCCACCTTAGGAGGCAGTTCCGGAAAGGTCTTCGCAGGAACGATTAAAACCTAGTAAGCCCGAGTCAGGAGCCATTAAGCTGGGTAAGGCGCGAGCAAGCCCAGGCCAAGTTAGGCCAGATTCAGATGGATTAACCGGGATTAAACTGGAGTCTGCGGGTTTTCGACCACGGGTATACCAGCACCGATGCTGAACTAAAACCTCCCAGGAGATGCATCCTAAACCACCCAGTCGGGGGGCTAGGCGGGGTCACTCATCAAGACGGCGAAGCCTGGTCAGACAGGCGTGGAATGCGCCGGCGTGCGCTCGGACCCTCCCTCCAACGCTGCAATAGTTTGGGGGCGTGGACCCGAGGCCTCGACCACTTCCGCAGGGCTGGCTTCTCATCCGGAGTCGAGCCAGCCCCCGAGCACGGCAACGGCCTCCCCAAGCCGAAAGGCACAAAACATGATCAAACACATGATACAAAGAAACATACAAACGTACAAACAAACAGACAGACAAAAACAAATACCACCAGGATCGCTGAGGGGGCACGGCCTGAAAAGCCACAGCGGGTTCATGCCGTGACGACGTGCGCACTGGCTTTCCAAGCGTTCAACCTTGCACGACATCCCGGCCTCTCGATAGCACAGACCGTTCAACATCGGCCGATTCCCAGCCGCTGCAGGCGCTCAGCACCAAAGACTGCGTCAACGACGGCAACGGCGACGACGACGACATCCAGAAGGCCCCAGAGGTCACTGGCGGCCTCCGAAAGTCCCCCCGAGGCCCTCGGAGACCCCCCGAAGCCCCCAGAGGCTCGAAATCGCCAAAAGGCGTTCATCCTCGATCGATCAATGGATCGATCGACGACGACGGCGGCAGCGGCGGCGGCAGCGGCGGCGGTGGCGACGGCGGCGGCGGCGGTGGCGACGGCGGCGGAAGCAGAGGCGGCGGCGGAATCCTCCGGCCGCCGCGGGCGCAGCTTTCATGGGGGCGAAGCCGCAGCCGCCGCCCATGGTGGGGGCCGTGAGGCCGCCTGATCAGGGAAACGGAAGAAAACCTCCGACCAGGTGGTGAAGAAGACATGAAGGCGCAATGTGTTCACCGATTTCTGCCTCTGGGGGCACTCGCCGGGCCCTGGAACCGTCAAAAAACTACTCGGGATGAAGAGTCGGCCCCAGGCAAGGTCTCGAGACCTCCGGGGACGCCGCATTTCAGGAAAAACATCGGATCTCTGGGCCCGACATTCGGATAGCGAGGTTTGGACATATTCTGTTAATGTCCCCACTCTATGGCTTTGGGACTTATGATGGCGCCATGGTTTTTGATGGAAAATCATCCATGGGGTTCTGATGGGTTTCATGTCTGGCCTCGCGAGGCCCCACGGACCCGTGCGAACTGGAAAAAAACATGCCATGGAAAGGAAAGCGGAGGAGGAGGCGGAGGAAAGATGGGGACAGGGGAGGAGGTCTTCGGGCATTCGTCCGCCGCGAGCCCGCCACCCACGGCCGCCAAGACACCGTCACCGCGGAGCGAGCGCCCCAGGGAGACCCCCCATGAGTGCTTCAAGGGAGCCCAGGAAAATCCCAAAATAGAGCTTGCCACGAAGAGACCGCCACGCAAGGTCCATCGGGGGCCATCTGGAACACTCTGGGAAGCCTCGGGGGATGTAGATTGGAACCCTCGCTGGATCTCCTGAGGCCCCGCTGGGAACCAATGGGGAGGCCAAGTTCCCTCTGAAGGAGGCCCCCCAAAGTCCGCCAACGGAATCTACAGCGAGCCCACTTCACGGCGAGTTCTTTATGCAAGGCTCGCGGAACCACCTTAAGAGCCCTACGCGCCCCCTGTCCCCCTGGAGGCGATTGGGGGCAGGGACCCAACAATAGCCCCGAACATGTTACCGAACAACTGCCCAAGAAGGCCCGCGTCCTTCCCTGAGTTTGTAGACGGAATTGCCAGGCACGCAAATTCACAATCATGAGAATCCGCATCCATTTTTATTGTTTTCACAACTCCTCAGCCGCGCTCTCTCGAGCACAATCTCTCAGCGAGAACGTATTCTCGAGATCATACACAAACAACCCCATGGGTGAAATCGCCGACGGCCTGGAGCAACTTGTCGAAGCTCTTCTGCACCGCCACGTGGAGGCCTCCGCGATCAGGCCTGGAGCAACTCGTTGAAGCTCTTCTGCACAGCCACGTGGAAGTCCTGGATTGAAACCACCGCCTCGGGGAGCAAGTCCAGTAGCGACGTGGCCACCACTGTTTTGCCCGCCGTCGTCTGCTTCTCGTCGAGGAGCATCTGGATCGCACCTGCGTCGAGCCGCGTCTTGTGCGCCAAGAGCATCGCCTGCATGGCATTGTCGATCGCGGCCTGGTGGAGCGGCAACAGGTCCTTCTTGTGCGACACGGCTGTGTCCGTTAGGTTCTTCCTGGCCTTCTCGGTGTCTCCGATGGCCTTCAGCGTCTTCGCGGCCAGGCCCTTCGCGGCGAAGATGGTTGCCCTCGCCTTCCCGCGCGCGTCTTCGAGAGACGCGTCGTCCGAGAGGCCCTGCTTCCAACCGACCTCTTCGTCGTCGAAGAAGGCGAGCTTGGCCAAGTTGGCGCAATTGTTCTGCAACTCGATGTGGGTCTCTGCTCCACGTCCGCATCCCTGTATTGGTGGATTACCTCTTCCATCTTCTGGATCTCCCTGTGCACGTTCGCTTCGAGGTCCCTCTGTGGGATGACGCCATTCTCGTTCACGTCCATGCTGGTGCTCGCGTTCACCCTTGCGTTGATGGTGGACATGGCCTTGACCAGGTGGTCGTAGAAGTTAGGGCCGTCGTCGTTCGTGACCCGCTGATCCGCGCCGCCCGTGCGCGTCAAGACCCCATGCGCACCCAGCGCCTCGTAGACCGAGTGCAAGAAGGCCAGACGTCCTTCCAAGGGTCAAGTCAACTCCGATGTTGGTCACTGACTCCACGGAGTGGTCCCCGAGTGTGTCCAGTATAGTCGCACGCAGCAGGGCTGCCTCGTGGAAGTCGATCATGCCCTGGTGGACGCCTCCAGAAGCACAGATCCTCGCATTGATCAAGATCTTCCGCAGCTCCTTGATCTGTGTCATCGCACGTTCGCCCTTCTTGACCATCGGCAGGATAAGGTAGTTGAGGAAGTCGTCCCTCGCCTGGCCCATGATGTCGGCAACGGGCGCCTCCACGCACGCTAGTATTTTGGCGAACGGGTCGAACGCCAGGTTCTCCGATGAGTCGATGTATGGGTTGGTATTTGCCCAGAGGGTCTCCACGTCGTCGTCGCGCTGGAGGCCAGCCCTCAGCCATGCCAAGCACCACTTCGGGCAGTCCTTGAAATCGATGCCGCCCATGACCAGCGCGCGGAGGTGCCTCGAGCTCACCTGCGGGTCCTTGATGTTGTGGAGGTTGGAGACACTGAGCTCGGTAACCTTCTCGATGAGATCCAACAACTCCTGCTTCCGATTCGGCGCGTCGATAAGAGTCGGCTTGAAGCGACGAAGAGCGCACTCCCTATCGCCGAGCTTGAGGCCGCCCAGCAAGTGCCCGAGGTTGACCTGCGCCTCCAACTGCCTGATCCTCTGCATGTCGCCCCCGCCAGCAGGGGAGCGCACGCTGCCGCCCCTGGTGCTGGCAGCGCAAGCACCTGGGCGAGGCGTCGGCGGAGCTGCCACTCCTGCCGCGCGATGCTGAGTCTGCCTTGACGCCAAGCTCCGCACTGAGTCTCTCGATCGGGATCGCGCGCCGTGGTCGGCGGAGGGGCGCGCCGCCCCGATCTGCACGCTGGGCGTCGGCGACGCAGCACGTGCCGATCCTGGCGGGGCCGATGCTGCCACGGCGGCGCCGTCGCGGCTCGAAAAGGCCGCGTTCCGTCGAGATGCTGGCGGGGAACAAACTGGGACATCGGCTCGTGGACCCTCGGCAGGAGCACTCCCTTCGACTAAGGTCGCAGCTGCGGCCCCACCGCCAGGCGACTCGCTTGGGCCGCGACTGCATTCGGGAGGCGGTTTACCCTTCCCCGCGGCAGCACCAGCGTTCGTCTTCAGCGCAGCTTCGAACCTGATGGGGTCGAGTGTCGGGACCGGGTTCCTGCCGCGGACCACGGTGGGCATCGCAGCTTTCAAGTTGGAGACCTCAGCCTTGAAGACCTTCTTCGCCTGCCCCTTGTAAAGATGGCGCTGCGCACTCTGCGCATGAACCCTACCTTCGATGAAGTACTCCTCCACCCTGCTAATGTCCACGTGAGGCTTGTCGGGGTTCGCTGTGATGATCCCGCAGCAGCTGGCGCCACTGGGCATCTTCATGGTGCTGGCGGCCAGGGGCAAGCCCTTCATGTCGAGGTCGGCTGGCACCCCAGCGGCTTCACGAAGATCGGCGTCCTTGCGCATCCTGAAATGCGTCTCCATCTTGAAACCGCACCGCGAGACAACATCAACGGTCTCCTCGTCGAAGTTCTTGTTGCGCGCATCCTCTGCTGACGCCGCGGTCGCCTCGAATGAAGCATCGATCGAGCTGCCGTCCTTCATCGCTCTGCAGAACTTCACCCAGTCGGGGTGCCTCTCTGACCACGCCCACGCCCATGGGTAGTAGCACCTCGCGCAGGCCGAGACGGCGAGGTCGGGGAACGGCTTCTCGGAGGTGGAGACTTCACCACACGAGACCCTGCCGCACGCGCGAACGGCGGCCCACGATCCTCCACCGCGCGTTCCTGCAGAAGAAACCCGAGGAGCTCTCTTCGGCGCTCTCTTGGCGCGCTTGGTCTCGACTTGGTCGGGCTGCTCACTCGGGTCACTGCCATTCTCTCTATCATCATCTGGGTTCTCTGCTGCGTCAGGCACGCCGATCGGCGGTTGAGCCTTCACTGAGGCCCTGCCACGCTTGTCGCCGCCTCGGCCGCCCCTGGAGGCCATGTCGATAGCGCGGTCGCGTGAAGCCGCGCTGCGCAAACGGCTTGGGCCAATATGGTTACGGAAAGACGGTAGTAGCCCCAAACAAATGAACACCCCTTGCCATAATAAGAACGCATGTCGAAACATCGTGGAAGTATGATACTAACACTCAATCGCCTGTCCTGAAAACATAGCCTGGCGAAGGGCCCAACCATATGCAGCTGCGAGTACCGCGCGGATATGAGACGAAGGAGGGGGCACGCAAACTAAGCCCCTCTTCTCATAGGCACCGCGCCACTGCATGGACGAGGCACAGGGCAGCGCGGGCAGGAGCTCTGGCACGAGAGATGGCCCCTGCCACTGGGGCCTTCGGTGGAGCTCCCTATGGGGCCACGAAACGTGTGAGGGGTGCGCCGAAATGGGTAATGGGGAGGCATGCGGACCCTGCCACTGGGGCCTTCGGGGGAGCTCGCTATGGTGCCACGAAGCGTGTGAGGGGTGTGCCGACATGGGTGGTGGGGAGGCATGCGGACCCTGCCACTGGGGCCTTCGGGGGAGCTCCCTATGGGGCCACGAAGCGTGTGAGGGGTGTGCCGAAAATGGGTGGTGGGGAGGCATGCGGACCCTGCCACTGGGGCCTTCGGTGGAGCTCCCTATGGGGCCACGAAACGTGTGAGGGGTGTGCCGAAATGGGTAATGGGGAGGCATGCGGACCCTGCCACTGGGGCCTTCGGTGGAGCTCCCTATGGGGCCACGAAACGTGTGAGGGGTGTGCCGAAATTTATGGTGGGGAGGCATGCGGACCCTGCCACTGGGGCCTTCGGTGGAGCTCCCTATGGGGCCACGAAGCGTGTGAGGGGTGTGCCGAAATGAGTAATGGTGAGGCATGCGGACCCTGCCACTGGGGCCTTCGGTGGGGCTCCCTATGGGGCCACGAAACGTATGAGGGGTGTGCCGAAATGTGTGGTGGGGAGGCATGCGGGCCCTGCCACTGGGGCCTTCGGTGGAGCTCCCTATGGGGCCACGAAGCGTGTGAGGGGTGTGCCGAAATGAGTAATGGGGAGGCATGCGGACCCTGCCACTGGGGCCTTCGGTGGAGCCCCCTATGGGACCACGAAACGCATGAGGGGTGTGCC